GACAGTAAGTCGTACACTACATCACGTGATTTTCCCTTCTCATGCGTCATAAACCATAAACAATAATGCAACGCTTCAGGTGGATCTAAGTACCGGTTTTACATTAGTGAGCTGTATTTAAGGCATCAGTGGCACTCGATAATATTATATCTCAAATTTGTTTAGACTGAGAAAATTCTTAATCGAACATCCTTCAAACGTTTCCGTCAGGCGTATAATGCGTATTGAACGAAAATAACGCACCCCGCACAGAGGCGGAAAACGTCTTAAATCTTAAACTTTATAACTTGTGGCTACTTTTATTTGGCCGAATATAAAACACGATCTAAAAGAAGATTTGTTTGTTTTGGAATCCCACGAAATGCATATATGGTATGCTTGAATCCTTTTCTGCATTTGTCATAACGATATATATATTGGCTTGCTCGGGGAAAGTAGCGGAAACGCGCCTAAAGCGAAAAAATGATGATGTTGAATTTAAAGCTATATTTGTGTTAAAATTCTTCCACTAAAAATCAGTCTAGGGTAGAATAACATGGTTAGATAGAAAAGCTACCACGTGCAAATGGCGTGCAGCGCATGTTTCTTGACTAACCGCACAATGTCGTATGAAACTAACTTTAGCAACGTTAAGAATTAATTACAATATGTACATTAATTACACGAATAAGTATGTTTGAATTAATGATTGTGTTGCTGCTGCTGCTGTTGACACGCTGATAAGAAAGTGGAGGAGGAACGATGAGTATCGTTAATGGAGAATTACGAAGACCACAGCAGGAAGACCATGATGTTGGTGATTAAGATAATGGCGACGATAGAGAATGATGGCGATGACGATGTTGATAATAAGTTTGTTGTTGATTATGATGAAATGCATGGCATGGATAGAGTCAGTGTTGGCTATGTAAATGATGGTTGGGAATGATGATGTCAGTTCATGATAAAGATGAAGCGATGATTGTAATGGTGTTCAGTTGATGTTGATGAAGGTAATAAACGTTAAAATAGTGATAAAGATGTTGATGATGTTTGATGTAGATGATGATGCTGATACTAATGATGACGATGTATCGGTGGTGATCATGATAATAATGATGATGAAGATGAAGCTGATGATGATGATAATGATGATGATGTTGATGATGACGAAGATGATGACGATGATGACTAAGATGCTGCCGAATGATGATAATAAAGTTGGCGATATGATTACTTAAACACGATGATAAATTCTTTCTTCGCGTGTCACCAGCTCCAAAAATAAGTAAAGCCCTATCTCATTTCTGTTGATTGTTTTAACCTTTGCGCCTTTTTGAAAGAAAATTACCCAACCAACTACTGTTTCACCTCAACTAGACCATTAATATTTATAATGAAAGATCAATCAAGATCTCCTCGCCTTCATAGACAACAACTGGTATCTTTTTAAACTTGTGGATACGCAACATCATAGAAACGAGTTATTGTGCGGGGTCTAAATATGCAATGTGTCACTCACTCACTAAGATGTTATGGGAACTGAACTTGAAGAGCCCCTAAGAATTGGGAAGGAAAATGAAGAAAACATGACAACAATGCGTGGGAAAGAAAAGTGATAGACAAGCCAACATTCCTTCCGCTTAATAATATAAAGGAAATCAAATTATCTTTTCGTCTGATAAAATGAAGATATATTTTTGTCTGGCAGCTGGATTGTCTCGAGATTAATGTAGTCTTACTTTCAAGGATAACCCCAATTATCTGCATGCCATTTTCGCCGCTCATATCTGATATGTTTTTGTCTACTAGGAATTGATGTCTCAACTTCAAATTTGTATCGATGCTGTTAAAGGAAGATAGTGTTCCTTGTCTGCCAACGATAAATGATGAAAGTTCGATAGCTTTCTAGAGTTTCTAATACTCTCGGAGGACATGGCAGCTTTTATTCATTCACACACTTGAAAAATAGCTAGCGTATTTGAGACACTTGGTGACATTAAGTCGATTGTAGCAGAGATATCGAGACGTGAAAATAGTAATAGCTATCCCTACCTTTATAGAGTATACCGCATATATTAATTCTGATTCTAATCAAGATTGATGTGTGCTGAATAAAAGTAGGGAGGAAAGGAGAGGAGAGGAGAGGAGAGGAGAGGAGAGGAAGTCCTTGAATCGTGCAATTTGGCTTCACTGATCTGCCTGTTATCCCACATGATCTTAATGTATTATTTACAGCTTTTTTCTTTAAGGATGGGGGGAATGTTGAGGATAATTACTGTTCAAGCCCTCTAATGTAAAGTATATAATAGCTGGTGAGAGATGATTCAAGTGACGGAAGTTCAGGGAATGACATCAACACTTGTCTTTCCCATCTATTTGCACGAATGTTGACCAAGAAAAGATTTAAAGATAAGAAAACTAAAAAAAAGTAAATAAATGATTGATTTTTTTTGACTGAACATCGCTGGTTTGAACCCAGGTGTCGAAGTTTTTGTGAAGTGTGATCGTCCGGGTGAGTTTAGTCTTGAGAACTAAGACGGTGGTGGTCGACTGACGTTTCACCAACCTGAGAGGAAGTCTTCTTCAGAGTGCAGTGAGAAAATGAGAGACACTCCGATCCATCATTTATTATGCAAAGTACATTGAAGCCTTAATTGATAATTTAAGAAGTTCAAGATATTTTCCTGAAATAATTTCTCTCATTGTGTGAATATCATGCTTATGGTTCTGGCGGTAATTTTCGGCATGATGATAACCTACCAAGCAGGCTTTCCTTTTAAACCCCCCCCGGGCGTGTAAAGGTAAAAGTAGATTCTGCTGGCAGGGTACATAAAGATTTGCATGTTAGGCTAAAAAGTTAATGGAAGTTCATGCTTTTTTACTGTGTAATTTTTTGCGCTGTCAACGTTTCAGCAAACAGGTGTCTATAGATAATCGATTATAAAATCATGGCTGGTTTCATTTTTTGTTAATTAATTGCCGCGCGGTATCCTACCACTTAGGCCAATTATATCGAGGAAGCATGGCTCTCACTATACCAAGTAAATTGCCAGCAACTTCCTCTTTAGATTCTATCTGACTTCTTATTCTTATTTTAAATAAAACTATTTTTAAAAGCGATGGCTAGCCACCCAATCAACCCACCCACTTCCCTTTATCAGTCTTTGCATGTAACAACCTTTGATGAAACGGAGCACTAATACACGAACTTTTTATGGTTACACTTTTAATAGATTTTCTTGAAATTCTTTGCCTATTACTGGAGTTTTTATCTTGGGTTTCCAACTTTGTTAGCTATTCCGAAGTTGACTGTGGAAGAAGCTGGGTCGAGTAACCGTTGCAGTGCATTGTGGGGTAGCTTTAGGGATGGAAATAGACGCCATCTTGGAAATACTGAGTTCAAGCACTTTATTTACACATATATAAATATTATAAAAGATAACAATGCAGGCCAAAGCTAGAGTTTGTATTTACAAAACATAGTAGTCTTAGAATATTATGAATGTAAAAAATATATGCAAAAATTAAACAAAGTTGGCGTGCAGTGATGAGGTTTTGGTCGATTTTAAAGGGGCACTTGGATGAAAACGCCCCGATTTTTGAAAGTCCAAATAATCGAAGTATTTGAGGATAATATGACTCAATTATAATTATAAAAATCAGATAAGTGAAAATTTTAGCCTTGTAGCCACTTGCTTTTGAGATATTTTGGGTTAAAAGTGAAAAGAACAATAGGGTTAAGTAAATGACGTCATTTACTCAAAATTTAGATGCTGAATAAAATTGATAATTTTCCCCCGCCACTTTTGACTGTGAAGGAAACATGTTGCTTGGCTACTATCTGGGCCATATAGATAAGTTTAAACAAGTTTCAAGTCATTTCCAATTTTCATCCAAGTGCCCCTTTAAACAGTAGCCTTTGGTCCATGGCAACGCTTCTTCCGTGTCACGACATACGGAATTAGCAGAAAGATTATTATTGGCCTTGACCCTAATAATCTTTTTATCAAATTTTTTCAACCCTCTTGATTTTTTAAAATATCTTATTTTTTTATTGAACCAAAAGAGCAAATCTTTTGTTTTAAAGAAGAAGAATGGCCGTTTGTTTTAAAGATGGTCTTAGGCCCCGTCCACACTATGCCGGATAAATTTGAATCCGAATTTTTATTTATTCGGCTCCATTTCGAAAATTCGTTTTCGGTGAAGAATTGTTCCGGATTCGCCCGGACTAGTGTGGACGGTAGGCCTAACCGAATAAATAAAAATTCGGATTCAAATTTATCTGGCATAGTGTGGACGGGGCCTTAACAGCGACATGGGATAGATAATTTGTTAAGTATTTCTTTTTTACCACCCTTGGTTTGATTAAACATTCATTTTATTATATTTATACCATATAATCTGGTTGTTTTATATTTTTAGAATCTGTCGCCACGGGATTATTGATTTATCATAAATTAATTGTGACAATTACTTCCGACGAAATTGAGTTTCCATAACACATCATATTAGACTTGAAAAACTTATGAATTCGAATAAATAAATTATTCAAATTCATTAAAATGAATTTTAAAAAATCCAAAACAAAAAACAAAAAAAAGAAAAAAACAAAACAAAAAAAAAGTTCTGAAAAATTATTTCTTCAGTTGGTTCTTGAAAACGCTTTTACGAATCAAGTTTTCCCAAGAGCACTTCAGTAGCAATAGCACCTTTTAGACTGTTTTCATTTAGCTTAAGGCACATGAGGCTCTATAAAAAAAAGAACGTGCTAATTGAAGATGTGACTATTTAACAACGCGATCAAAACCAAAGGTTTGTCGAGGTAAAAGGAACTTCTCTCGATAAAAGTTTATTCATATTCATAAACAGCTGCTTCGTCAGACAGACAAATTAGTCTTTTTCGGCTTTTTATTTATATTATTTTGTTTATAAATTAATAAATAAAAAATAAAGAAATGAAAAAATGTTTTGTAGACATACATAACGGCCAGCATTTCTAGCAATTTTTGTATATTGTTGTAGTTATTATTATCTTAACATTATTATCATTATTATTATTATTATTATTATTATTATTATTATTGTTATTATAGGGGTTTCTGGAGAAGCACAAACTAGTTTATGATAAATGTGCTAATAAATAATCTATGACTAAAACAACGCGAGTTTATTTTGGTTATTTTTGACCAGATATTATAGATAACATCGAAAGTCAAATTTACATATGAAAAACCAAGGCCCCACGTAGAGCCATGATTAAGAAGCTCAGTTGTACTCATCCGTATATCTAAGATAAGCCTCGTTAGTGTGTGGTTGTGTGAGCTAGGATTGACCTGGCGTTCAAGCGGTTTTGCACGCTTTGCATATCTTATGTAAGTGGAATAACCTTTGTTTGAGTCAGTTGAGAAAGTCGGTATAAGTTGCATTACTGTAATCTGTAAAAGCCTACTTATCGCAAGAAATACGTTATCCGCAAAGGTTGAGTCACTTGTGAAGATTGCACCAAAGTATAATTTCCGTTTTATGTAGGGATTTTATTATCATTTTGCATTCGGTAACTCCAGTGTGATGGGAAAGCAGAGTTGATATGTTTATAATGCCTGAAACAAATTAGACATGCAAACCAGGAGAGGAAAAAACCTAAATAGTCACAACCAAATAAAAGAGAAAAAATACACACAAAGAAAAACACAAGCAAGCAAAAGAAAATGAGGAAAAGTCGGTTGAGTGAACGAACGAGCGAACAAACAGACAGCAAACGAACGAACAGCTAAGGAGACTCTGCCAGCAGGGTAACGAATAGCGAGTCGAGCAAAACAACCAACCGGAACGAAAAACTCATGACAAATACATTAAGAATCCCTTTATTGGCCAAGCCTGCGACTTGACCATGCAGCATAGTGATAGGAAATGCACTCTTTGGAAAGATAACTTCCACATTGCGCATGCGTTAACTTATGATTTATACATATTTACGTACGAGGGAATATATATTCTCATTATCTGTCAGTCTTATCTAAATCAGAATATAAACTATATAAATCGTGTGCTGAAAACCAAAACCTCAACAGGAGGAAAACGAATTTCAGGCTCTTAGTAAGAAAACAAAAATAAAAACGTGTTTTGTCGCGGGCTTTAGTGCGTTTTTTTGTTTTTTTTGTTTTTCTTCTTCTTCTTCTCTGTAGTTGAAACTCTCAAGTATTTTTCGTAAACTGTTAGAAGAAAAGAAGAATAATAATAGAAGAATAGAAGAATAAAAAGAATAAGAAGAAAAGAATCAAACATTCTTTTTAATTAATCTTAAAGGAATCTCTTTAGACTAAGCATATAAATGATTAGGATGCAAAACAACTATAAGCAAGTGGATAAACTCTATATTTATAGAAGATAGCACTCACGGCGGCTAATAAACTTGTGGTCCTCAAGGCTGTCGTTTAAGCATCAAGGAAAGATGGTCAAAGCGCAATTTAATTCTTGGATGTGTTTATTTTGTAATTAGGAAGAACTTCCCCTGTGGATATCATTCAAAAGTATATTACATTTTGATCTTCTAGGGAATAAATTATTACAGACAGGTTTAATTAAAAGTGAACGGTCAAGTAAACATATCGTATTCACCATGAGTCTTCTTTAAACGCCTAAAGCTTTGTTTCGATAGGATTTCATCCAATCATACCTTGATATAAAAACGAGACTCAAGGGTAAGGATGGTGAAATGACTTAAGTGAGATAAAGCGGGCATTTCAACAACGTAATGAAAATTTGTGGGGAAAAAAACGTTTCTTGTTCTGAAGAAAACCAACATAACCCCTAGTATTAATCCGCCCAAACGCCGATCGACACGCAACATACGGTATGTTTGAATCTACGGTATTCATCTCTTGCTGTGCAGAGATAGACAAATAATAACGGCAAGAATAAGCAAACAGTGTTAATCTGGGAAGAAAGAGCAGCGAATAAAACAAAAATGTCAAGAGAAAATTTTTACAGGGTTGTACTGGCATGGTACCAGCCGAAAACCCACATGATATCAAATATGATTAATGATAGTCCTGTAAACACAGCAATCAGTGAATAATTTTTGTTATTACTGGCCGTGTGCGCCTTGATCTCTGTACAAAGGAATTTATTGTGGAAGTTGAGAGCAAATTGAAAATCTTTGCGGGAGCCAGCCATTATGCCGAGCAGTGGTAGGTAAATTGTTGCTTAATTATATATATATATGTATTTTTTTCAAAATAAGGGGGATTCTTTGTGAAATAACATGAATCAAGACTTACCTTTCCAATACATTTTAAAAATAGTGCAAACCGGCCATGGTATCCGTGAAATAGCAAATATATATATGTATATATAACACTTAAAACACATCTCTATTGCTTTTGATTTCAATCGTTTTATTGGTGCTATTTTGTACTAATTAGTTAGTACTATACTCACGGATATATGGTCTACACTCTAACGTCATAATGTCCAAGTCTAACGCGCTGTTTACGTGTGGACAGCAAAAGCTCAGCAGAAAGCAGCAGTTCTTATCAGGTTCTTCCGTTGTCCTAAAATGCACTCAAGATATACTACATGTTAATCACGATAGTCGGAGGAAGACGGATGTAAGAACGAAAATCTTAATGAACTCCAAGCGCGCAGGTCATTAGCGTTTACTTTCTTAAGGAGACGTTTCTGGACTTTGTTTTCGTAGAGAGAAAAATAATTTCAAAATCATTACCGGCTAAGTCAAGTCTATTAATATTTCAGAAGAGTGGTTTGTGACCCGAAGCAAAGAAGTATTCCACAAGGGCGTGGCAGAACACGTGCTTGTGAGCTTGAGAGGGAAAATATCTTCCTCCATTATTCAATGTTATTATTGAGTATATAGGAAGGTTTAATTACTCTAGATACACTTTTATTGTGAAGAATGGTATTGAAATTATGTTAAAGCGAAAAAAATATAAGTATATTAATAATAAAAATGAAATGAATTTATCGCATACGAAAATTAGTTTATTTCATAGATTTTTCTTCATCTTTTATAATCATTATGAAAATAATAATGGTGATAATAATAATAATTAATAACAGTATGCGACAAGATTTGAAACAATAAAATTACTTTACACTACCGCTTACACCACTAGTTTTTTATTATAAATGCGTAATGTATTATCGGATAAGTTTCATTGAAACAGAGATATATATGTAGTACCGATAATATGATAGTAAAATTAATAATATCCTAATACACTATAACATCCTTTTAACACATCTTGATCAATATTGGTAGATTACACGTTGACTAAGGTGGTACCAGTCAAATATTATTCTTAAAGAACTAGTGTTTAGGGCAAGATTTGAAGCACAAGCCTTACAGAAGTGCTCAATATTTTAGCCAAACTAAAACAACAATTGGCAATTTAGGGTTTAAAAATCCTAGTGTTGCAAAGGAGCCGATTCATGGTGGAAGTAGGAAGTAGGAAGTAGTCATAAACGGAGGATCGTTGTGGAGACTGTTCGGAAAAACGTGGGAGACAATCATAGTCCCACGTTCATGTTGTTTGACATTTATTGATTATTGTCTCATTCTTACTTTCTTTCTTTTCTTTCATTTTCTTTCTTTCTTTTAATTTTTCAGCCAGACTGTATGTCTTGGTTCCTTCCTTTGCATTCTTTCTATCTTTCTTTTATTCATTTATTATATTTTTTCTGTATCATAAAATAAACATGCGAGTGTGTATAGAATATTCGAATGTAGTAAGGAGTGCGTAGGAGAATACATGGCCCCACAAGCTTCTAGCTTTAAAAGCCTACCATTTATAGATAAATAATCAAAGATGTGTTTTTATATTCCCTTGCCTCTCTCAGTCCAGGAATTTTCTAGGATCCCTTTTGAAATTGCGCTTACTTCCAGTGTTTATTTTTCAAACTCACGGCACCCTGCACTTTCAATTTCTGTTTCTTCCTCGCAACATTTGGTTCTAATCACGTACCGTCAGTATTACCCGATGAGGTGGTCTAACGACCCGAAATCTCGAAATATAAAAAGATTATCGTAATCATCATCGCATAGATGAAACGCTCGGTAAAATCAATGATATTATTGTAATCACAATATTACCAAAACAAATGCTATGATTATTATAAATGAATAAAAAAACATCTATTCCATTAAATGTTGACGGTGAGCATTTTGAGGGTATCGCCGCGGAATGGAAAAATCTGGAATTTTACTATTCTAGTTTCGAGTTTAATTACATTTCGTGGTACAGTTAACATCTATACGTAAGATAATAAAAAAACGTCTGGAATTCTTGTGAGTTAGTTAAGCTTAAGACTTCGAATAGCTTTTAAAAAATAGACGAATTTAAAAAACTTACACATATAAGGATCAAAAGTTCCAGAGGTTCAGGCACCAAGTATGACTCATTGCATGGTGACAACGATTCAAACAAGCGTGCGGAAGCACTAAGTCAAGTCTTAGTACCTGTCCTCGTGTGATTAATAATCGAGATCATCAAGTAGATACATTTCTTTGCTTCTTTTAACTAGGTTTAGATAAAACTTTTGTGTTTAAATCAATTTAATAGAATGTCAGATGGAAGTGATCATGATAACTGACTGACAATGCCCCTTTAGCGGCGACGTATACCATTGCTAATAACCAAAAAAAACTGATGGCTTTTCGTAAACAATACGACTACTGCAAATGCATATGGATAATACTTGGAGATAATTCACCCTCAGGGCTTAGTAAAGCTATTATTCACTTTTTAACACTTTCGTTGTAGAATTTCATTAATTTTGTTTTTCGTATCTTCGACTCACAAAGGATAAAAATAACTCGAAAAAACGGTCATGGTAACTCATAAAATTTTCAAAATCTAGATCTCAGACTGAAGAGTGGGAAAATGATTCCTAATCGAAAACTATCTTAACACGCAGTAACAGAACATTCATTATTCATATACGTAAAAAGCTGACTGCAGATAAAGTGAATTCAAGTCCGGCATTGTATTTGGAGACAATGAATAAATTTTAGTTGGCCGGAAGACAAAATTAAAGCATCTTAAAGCGGTTTGAATAAATGATAAAACAGCTAAATTCTATATTCGTTATATAAAGGTTTTTCATGATAACACAAAGGATGATAAAGATTATTGACTAAATATTGATATGACCTTATATATTTTGTATTTACATACATATATATGTCAGTATATCTACAGCCATATAAAAAAGCTATCGACCTATAGGCATATATACACATGTGTACATATAGACATATTAATTGGCTCTTTCTTCGAAAATATCATAAAATATACCGAAGAAATTATGGGATACATTGCTTTTTTTCAGATAGTCTTACTAGCAGTTTACTACAAAAAATAGCAATATGAACATTTTTTTTGAGAATTTTTGGATAATACATAATAAATATATATTTATTATTTAATATAGATATCATAGTCATTACTTAATATAGATATTATAGTTATTTATAGGTGTATAAGGTACGTTATAATGTATGTTACATATATAACGTTCCACTAAGAAATTTCTATTTGATTAATGTTAAAAGCCAAAGGCAAGCTATATTGTGTTTAAATTCGTAGTTTTAATCAAAAGACGAATAACTGCTATTTTTAATCAATTTGGACTTGTTTGAATTCGTAGTTTTAATCAAAAGACGAACAACTGCTATTTTTAATCAACTAAAACGAAAAAAGTTGAACTAAATAAATCGCTTATCCAATTGGCGCCTGTTCTGTTTTAGATTTATAACACGTAAACTAGCAATACTTAATAGATTTAGTATAAACATGAATAGTATTACTCAATAGTTATGGCTGGTTTATGTACCGTGGTGTTTATTGACAGACAGTTATTCAGTACTCGGAATGAAGAGGGAAAAAAAGCGCTCGAAAATTAGAAAAGCGACTGAAAACCTGTAATCGCACGCCGAAGTAGATGGATTAGTCTGAAAGAAAATTAGGGAGTAAGCTAGTTAGAGCTGCGTTGGTGTAAGAAGCCGGCATAAATGATGGATATGACACTGTGTAATACTAAAGAGTGTAGTTAACTCACTTTAGTAAAGTGTACCCTTGCTAATACGAGGTGTCTGACTTACTTATGATATAACCATGATAGATTTATTACTTGTCACTGGAGTTGAAATTCATACGCCTCGTGATAGTATATGCCACCTTGCAATAATAAAGAGCACTTAAATTTCTCCGATTCGAACATCTTTTAGTCAGATGTTCATCTTTCAAGGGTAAAAGCTAACCTCTAGAAGGTGTCGATTTCATTTGGTGCCTTCACGTAAACCAACAATTATCGCTGGATCAGGAATCAAAAAACACTCAATTTGTTACCACACAGTAATAACGTGCCCTACCGTCATATAAACTGACTTTAATTTCGATAAGGTTGAGAATTAGAGATCGAGGTAGTCTGGTTAAATTAAATGCAGTCCCCCCTCCCCTCCCCCCCAAAAAGCCGGGAAAACAAAACAGAAATTATGGAACATCGTTGATGGTATTTTTAGAGATAACCTCGACAGACCTGTACCACATCATGTGGTCATTGGTAAAACGCTTAGATGTAATAGGAAAGATACGAGGAGAACGCGATTCTAGTCAAAGTTTTTGACTTAGTCAGTATAAATGACAAAATCCGTAACTGAATGCTTGAAAATTCACCCATTTTCGGCGATGAAGTGCGCGGTTTTTCGTTTATTAAMAAAGATCTCAAATTTGCAATAATCTGATCATTCCTAAAGCACTCCACACGGATTAGTCTGTCGGCAAAGTTACACATGGTACTCTCCGCATTCGAATGCTTGATAACACTTAGTACACTAAATAGGTTAGGTATCTCACATATGGCCGCTAATGGTCTGGCTATAGAGTTACGAGTGGCTTTTGGAATGTTTTCTTGGCTTAGACTAGAATAGTAGCTTTAAATCGAAGTAAGAATAGCATGGTCTATAACTTTGAGTAAATCACTTGAAATTCACAAAATATCCTGTTAAATCAACTTCCTACTATTAGCGGGTCGCGTTTGTGCGAGAGCGAGGCTTTAGTTGCATGATGCAAGTCCTAAAACCATTTTTGTGTTGATTGAAACAAGTTAAACGTTTAAAAAACAATCCCGCTGTATTCGCTGTATCGTATTCTCTACCGGCGACAAACGAAGTGCACACATATCTTTAAATAGACAACAATTAGTCGGTGCTCAGTGAAAAGCTCTTTGCAGCTCTCACAAACCGTGATTAATAACATTTCGTACACAGATCCTTTTCCTGATAGCGCCACAAATCTTTCCCGCCGCTTTTAGACACTGACTTAATCTGCGTAGAAAGTAAAGTTCATCTGGACGCAATGCGATAAGCAACTACTGCCTCTTACTTCCTCGGGCAATATTGCAGTTCATGGAAGATTCCATTCGTTTTTTAAACCCAGTCATGCACAGCATAACTTATTTCCTAGAAGGCGGAGCCGCATTTGATAGAAAGCACAGCATCCCGCATTGAAAACTCCAAAACTAATACTCCTTGATTACTGTTCTATGACTAAATCATTAAAAGCCAAATATAGTTTTTGCGCTTGATGTTGTTTATCTAACTATCGATAATAAAGATTCCAAAGATAAAGGTTAATAACTTCAGAGGATTTTAATGATGTTTAATGATGTATTTATGAGTTAAGTAGAGAATTACGACCCCAGTATCCCCCCTAGGAAATCCCTTGCTAGTTTTTTTGAAACGCTGTACTCAGTATTAAGTACTTTAAACAAATACGTCCATCAATGTCGACCGTAGTTTAAATTTAAGGGAATTCCTCGATTTATACAAGTACTAATGATATTGGTGTTCAGTTCTTCAAAAGCGGATATCCTAGAGCTAATTAAAGCTGGATTTTCTATTCACCTCAGCGATAATTCCCTTTCACGCTGGCTTGGTTTATGTCAAKACTGAAGAAAAAACTCTTAATATCCTCTCTATAGGAAGAATCGTAGGTGTCCCTTCGGATAACTACTTGGAAGAGACATGTACACGGTAGAAGAAATTAAGAACTAAGAGTACTAAAAATTGCGTGGTTAAGAGCTTGAAAAAGACTCTTTAAATGAATCCTCTTCCGTATAAAACCTCTATCGCCTTAACATGATCCTATTCATTATACTTGGGCTGGTTGCTCACTGAAAATAATGTGAGCAGCTCTGATGATATACAGCGATAATATTTTGCTTCCATCATAGATGCCACTTCGTGATTGGTAAAACATATGCTAGTCAAGATTTGCCCAAGGGGAAATTACTTTTACTATTTTTTATTAGCCGTGCCATTGTAATCTTTTCTTCCTGAATAAGTCTGCGAGTGCTGTGCAAAACCGGCGCCATGTTTCGTTTTTTTTTTTTCTTTTCAAATTTGATTCGAAGATAAGCTTTACCTTGATTTCAGTCAACAATTTTTCAGCGTTAGCCCTAGTAAATTTGAGAGTCAAGTGGCTTGGGTTTCTCGTTAACTCAGACCCACTTAGGTCTTTCGCTATATTGAGTACTACAGTCTTCAGGGCTCCAGGTTGATCTTGAGCGCTTTTTTCGGCAAAACATACGACTGAACGTCTTTCGAAAGTCAGCTTTGAAAAAGGCATAAATAGGAGCGTTGAGAAGGCAGCCAATGACAAGTGTAAACCATGAAATACTGACGAGTTCCTTGGGTACTATGTCGATGCGTTGTATAGCTTCAGCTGTTGTCATGTAAATGACGGGCATCCAGCTAATCACAAAAATAGCAGCAATAACGGCGAAAATTCGCGTCACTCTCGCTTCACTATGAACTCTGCCTCTCTCCTCCATCACTCGTCCATCCACAGGATAATTCTGCATGGCTGCGAGATTCTTCACTTGGCGTGCCACTTCTCGAAATATACGCACGTAGGCAAATAGGATCAAAGTATAGGGAATAACAATTCCAAGAATGAGAATGCAGAACAGAAAAACTCGATGGGCTGTGCTAGTAAAGTCGTTTTCCCAGCTCAAGGGAATCAAGGAAATCAAGACCGGGCAAGTCCAAGCCGCAAAGGGTAGTTTCAAAAAATGTTTATCCATGAACGGTACGTATCTCAGAGGAGTAATGACAGCGAGGTAACGATCGAATGTTACTGCTAAAAGGTTAAACACGTTTGCCTGAAGTATAATGGATTTGAGATATTCTTTAGCCTCGGCACCTTTGTCAGCGACTTCCAGTGGCAAAAACACGCCACCGAAAAGCGCGTCCGAGAGAGCCAGCGACACAATAAATCCATTAGTGAACGTACGAAGGCTCCTATAGCGATATACAACATAACACACTAAAAGGTTCTCCACGGTTATMATCGCGCCGATGACTGCTAAAGTTACCGAAATCCAGAGCTCCGTAAACATCTTGGCTTCAGTTCTTTGGATTCACTTTGAATTTCCTAGCCACTTCACGGCGACCCGTAATTTAAATTATTCTCCGCGAGGTCTGATGAATTAGTCCACTTGTTTGACTGGGTTGCTCACGGCGTTACTGATCTTTGTAGTGAGGTATGACTGGCTTGCCAGTCGGCTATTTAAGCTCAATGATTGCACCTTATGACGTAGAGCACCTGCCAGGCTTTGTATAACACTAACAAACGCAAATACGACGCACCCGAGTTCCTTCAATTTAAATCAGTGTTATTTTTCTTAGTTAAACCATCGGCTAGCTTGGTAGTTGATCTTCAGCTTTCTAATTTGAAGTTCTGTGATCCAATCGGCTTTGTTTCTCTAAGCTTTTAACTCTAGACCATTCGATTTGCTCGGCCAACTGCAGCACTAAGGCGATTAACATTTGACTAAAATAAACGAAAATCGTTACTTGATGTTCACAGTTTCCTAATAACGTTCGCCAAGACAACCGAATTAAAAGCTACCGAGCGCCTAAGAAACTCGGAATCAGTATTTTCAGTGAAAATGAAGCAAATGTGTTTCCGACCTCAGGGAAAGATGTCCTTTTATCTTCGGGGAAGCTGAAGGGGGGAAAATGATACTCGGTCACGTGATTCGATCACATGATCCAGTTTCTTGATAAAATTGATTACATTGAAGTAAATTAGAGTCACTTTAAGTAAACGAAGGACGAAATGTAATTCCATGATATGCCGATAAAATAATCCACGCTAAACCAACAATTTAATTTTTTAGCAAAAAGGAAAAAAAAAAAAAAAAATCTCAGATGTGTATAAGGTGAATCTTATGTTGTTTTAAAAATATTCTTGTTTTTAAAGCCGAGCATTTCCGGAGAGAACCACGTTATCGCTTGGTTTCACAATCTTCTGTTCGACTGGACTCATATCTGTAATGCCACAAAGACTTTAAATGGACAGCGACCATTTTATCCAAAATTAATCCCCACAGTACACCCTTTCTAGGTTCGATTATTATTATTTTTTATGAACTTCCATAAAAAGATGAAAGAGATCGCGTAAAGATGCATATCGCTACTCGATTTGGTTCCTTTTGAAAACAGAAATCAATTAACCGATGTTAGATACTTCTGGCAATAAAGGATAAACAAAACTTTCCAACTATCCCCCCTTGAATCGATCCACAACACTAGGGACCCCAAATATGGTTTTATTTTGCTCAAAGTCAGCTATTTTATCACCTCTTCTGCGTTGGTGCGTCTTTATTTTCAAATCTATATGAAAAGTCTAGAATTTTAGGCACGCAAGGCTTCCTTGGAAGAAAAAAAGTTAACACTTTTTTAGTGCGGAAATTAGAGAATTAATATAAGCGACAACTAGACAGAATGTCTGGGGAAGAGGCGGGAAAAAAGAGGTAGAACTGCATAAATACAATATGAAATGCATTGGTTTGGTCTATACGAACTACTCATTTCCACCAGAGTATGATCAAAGAAAATATGGAAAACGCAACACAAGCTGAAACAGTGGGACAACTAAAACGGGTACGAGCGCGCGACAAAATAAAACTTCATACAAAAACAAAACATGTTTTAAAAATGACGTAATTGAACTGTTTTTTATTTTAATTTTAAAGTAATTATAATTATAAATGATATGGATATGATTTATGCTAAACGCTAAGCTATTTTTTAAACCACAATACATCAAAACACTAGGAAATTGCGAACACTAAATCTTGTTAGTACGTACCTTCCAAAATATTGACAATAGCAACAATTTGAAAAAGGTTCAGAATCATTTATTTCATAATCTCGTGCAAGGGTCATTTATTTTTATCAATTTTCTAATTTTTTTGGGAGGAAAAATATTACCATGGAAAATAAAGGTTTTCACAAAGTGACTAAAGTCTTTTTTTTTTTTTTAGTTACTACCTCATTAAAAAAAAGTGTCAAAAAAAATTCCATTTTAACTTCTGAGTGCTTTATTGTCTCCCTCGAATGTCATTGACATCTCAATGTGTTTATAGAAATTTTAAAGTAAAAATTCTATAGTTATCAGTAAAAATTGTCCGGAAACTTAATAATATGGTTTATTATTTTAGTACGAGGATGTCCTTAGACGTACTGCTTACTAACGCGCTTACAGGCTAATACCCAGAATACAAGGGTTATTATTGAACTGGTTTAAAAGAAAAATCTTGAAATAAGAAAGGATTGGACTGAAGACCTCATTCATAATCAAAATTACAGTTCATCTTTTACATGATTATTGATTTTTTTGCATGTATTTTAAACACGACTTAAAGAAGGGAGAAAAARAAGATGTATTCTTGTTAATTCGTTTTGAGCGCGTTTTTAATGATGACTTAATTATAAATGTATGGAAATACGTGCTATAAAACCGGATTGAAATTCAATAAGACTTCTCGCAGGATTATTGGTGCTTTCTAATAGTAAAACGGCTATTTATTAATTTTTTTCTTCTTCCCTCTTCCTCTTCAATTGGATTTGGGTTTCTGGTGAAAAGCTAGTGTTTTGAATGTCGGTCGTGAATCTTGAAGTTTTTCTAGGATATCATAGCATGCATTGATAGAATAAATGGATCAACGATAGAAACATTCCGCCTCGTTTGCTTTTAATTTATCGGCCTCAAATGAGAAGATTTGAAGGTAGTTAACCCATAGATACAGCCATTAGGTCTTTCTTGATCATTAAGAACTTCAATAATCCGTTTTCCATTATTCAAGCTTATCTGATTCCGTGTCATTTTGCCTGAAAAATCGTGGAAAAAATTCTCGATCGCTAATAATCTCTTACTCGCATCTTAAAATATTTGCGACAACCTTGAAWAGAACATTCCAATTGGTTAAAAATAATTATATTATAGGCTTGAGATCGCTCACACTCTTGTACGTCTTGACGGCCATGAACTTAAACCTCTGATTAGCAATGATTGCCAATCTTTATGGCTTTAAAAGTTCATTTGTACGGTTTGAAATGAACGCTTAAATTGGCTACTTATCTTCATGTGTACATGTCAATCAACGAAAAATTGAGAGGATTTTATTTACGATCTTGAAACCGTATAATCTTTACATACGAGAAAAAGTGTCTGTTGTGTTAATCAAGCTTTTTTYCCCAAGGCTTAATTAAAAGCACATTTTATCTTACACTGCTACGTAGAATTTGAGGAGGAATTTGGACGGGAAAAAGATTACGCAATCCTCTGGTAATAATTTAATTAAAAATAAACATTTGGGTATAAGAACAGATGGTAGACATCATTCACAACCGCTTTGAACTGAATATTCTAGCCTGACGATCAAATTCAACGATTATATTTATAGAAAAACGAAATGAAAAGGCACGATACTAACATCACGTACACCTAAAAGCCAATATTAACACTGAAATGGCTTTCAATTTAAGCGTGCCTCTCGGCTTATCACGTGACTTGAGATTACTGCAAAATACACTGTGAACCCGACCGAGATATATTTTTTTTCTAATACCTATGCAAACTTTGCTCTAAGTCCTGTCAAATGTCTCTTATCGTAGACAGCCCGTCGGGCTCACACAAATTAATTTGAAAATTCTTGGCACGAACTACTGAATTGTGGATAGATTTCTGCTAATAAAATGACAACTGGCTTGAGTACTAGCTACATATATGCCATTGTAAATGTCCAAACTGATTGATAGCTAAGCGTTTGGGGGCTTACTACAAAATATGACAAGTATATCCGGCTTTGGACTTTGTCATTACAATATCCAACGCTTGGGAAACTTCACGAATTTTCACGTTGTTTTTCAATGACTATGCATTCGTTTTTCCTCGGCGCGTGAATATCTAAAAATTAGAGCCACGCCCATTTCGTCCTAAATCAAAACAAAAATAGCTTTTTCTATTAAGATTTCTCAATCATTTTTCAATGCGAATATTCACTTCCTTGCTGCTATCTTTCAGTTCTCTCTTTCTTTCTATTCATTTTCGAGACTTTCTTTTTAATTCTTTTTAATTTGAGTGTTAAAAGGCGACACATGACTTATTTTTGTTTTCTAGCACTAGCTCTTAAGAACCTCGTCTCAGACTGGCCAACATGCCACTCTTCAACTAATTTCTTTCATTTAATTTCCTTTCAATCGATTATAGAACCAGCACCTTCGGGGCTAGCTCGATGAAAGCTATCCAACAGACGAAAATGAATTGTTACCTCTTATAGTCGTGTCAAATGCCGGAACAAAGCACACGAATGTGTTTAATAGAGCAGTTTAGTTATTTTCTTGCAAAAACTCTACAAAATTCGGGGCAAATTAAAACGATAATATAAGAAGAAAATTAGCTTAATTCGAGGTCACTTTGTACACAAGCGTTTTAATGCATAGCTAAAGTTGATTTTGTCATTTGTGCTCTTGTGACATAATTTATTGATAAAATACCGTTTAAGATATCCCGATATTTAGATCGATCATGACATTGACCGCAAATTTTTTTAAACGATGAGGAATGCTGCAGTTAAGTGATAATGTGACGAAGGTGATGAATAATAGGTAACTCAAGTTTCCTGTTGGCATAATTAGCGAATTTACACCTTTTTTGTTTACTCCACTTTAACTTTTGTTACCTCTTTTTAACACACTGATTTATTTCGGAACAAAAACTATAAGGGAAAATAAAAAGAAAGCATGGAAAGAATGTTTTGTTTCTATTTCTTTTTTTTTTCTTTTTTTTTTTTTTGATTTTATAAAACAAAAATAAAAAAAGCATACAATTCTAATGAATTGGAAATAAAAGACGCGCCCAGAATRAAACGTCCTTGACTGATCTCCTTTACTCCGTTTAAATCTAACGTCTGAAAATATATTTCTGGTGATGAGGTGACYATGCAAACAAATAATCATATTTCCACGTAGCTAAAATAATAACTGCGGTCAAATTTCCTTGAGTATTATTACTTTGTTTGCTGCTTAGGCTGTTAAAAGATATGTAAATAGAAAAAGCGCTTTTTAAAGAAACCATGTTATCCTAAGATGAAAATGATCCCCTCAATTTCACACATTTTTTGCTGTTCTCATATTTCTCGTGTCTCTTAACTTGGGTTTCCTGTTGGGTTATGGATTCAATATAGAAAAAAACATTGCAAGTTCGCAAGGCGCAAGTTTTTAAGGGTAGGGTGGGTCTGCAATCCCACATCAGTCTTAGGTTCTCGAAGTTGATATTTTCCACAATTTTTACGGGTTCCGAGGCAGTTAACCTAAGATGGCAATATCTGTGTTTTATTACACGCAAGAAAAAAAAACAGAACAAAACAAAACAAAAATTAAAGACAAAAAAAAAAGACCAAAAGAAAGAAAAATAAACACACACACACACTTTCTAAAGGTTCGTGACAAATCTAAACGGGGCATATAAATATGCAATTATATCCCTGATACACACATTGTGCTTGCAAAAAAAAAAAAACGTATAAGGAAAAAGAGTTTTTTCTATCATTTTAGAGGTAAATGAAAATATCGCAATAAAAAGTAAGCGTATGTGAGGAATACATCTCATGAGACCAAACCTTGATGTTCCACGCGATAATTGCGATAACTTTCCAAGCCAAGATGATCAGTTAAAAATCTCTCTATACCCTACGCACACAGGGAAATTAATCCTCGTCAAATTTGGAAGTCCATCAAATATTCCATATCTTTCACCTACGTGCAGTCTGTTAATCTACAGAGTTCGAACCCCAAGATCACCTGATATAGTTCCAAGAATAAGAAAATTACATCTGCAATTTTCTCACAAATGTGTCAGAACTTCAAGATAGGTGTCTGTTATTGTGCAAGAAAAGGTTGCGTCTAAGTACCGGGTGCGGTAAAAATATCACTTTTAAAATCTACAAGTAATTATTTTTAAAGTAATCATTAATAACCACAGCATCCGTGTCAACAAGCATACTGCTTGTATGAATAGAGGTGTATAGAGGCTTTGCACCATCATGTGATGTCAGCCATGACAGGAGGCAGGAACAATTGAATCTGGTCTAATCCGATTTACACGAGAAAGATTTTATTTTCCCTGGAGAGAACGACTCTGTTGTTGTGCCTCCTGTCATGGCTGCTATCACGTGATGGAAAGCCTCTATTTCTCTATTTTATTTGTTTCTTCTTCAAGTCAATAGCATCATCATGATTGCCAGTATCAACCATCCTTCATGTCTGTATATTTACAACTTGTGTAATCATCATCTGTCAGTAACACCAACATCATTGTTACATCATCACCCACTTCCTCCTCCTTCTCTTTATCATCATTACTACTCCTTTGTCAAGGGCGGATCCAACCAAAATTTGTCTCTATCATCACCATCATATGTAATCATCATCATCTGTCAGTAACACCAACATTGTTATATCATCATCCACTTCCTCTTCTTTCTCTTTATCATCATCATCATTACTACTCCTTCATCAAGTGCGGATCCAGCCAAAATTTTAGGGGGGGCTAATTGAGTTTAGGGGGGGGGGGGCATATTTGAGTTTCTTCCGTCAACACAACAGAAAACAACAAAAAAAAGCATCTAATTCTTCAGTTTTGTTTTGTTTTCTGCTGAAGGGGGGCATCAGGCCCCCTTTTGCCCTCCCTGGATCCGCCCTTGTTCATCATCAAGGACAACTTTTTGCTATTATATTGTATCTATGTATCTATTTGATATTATATGATTTCTATTTATAATAGATATTACCTTATATCTATTTATAATATCTATTAGCGAGTAAGCAAATTTATTTTATAATACAATTATTTCAATATCTGCAAGTTTCACTTTGACCAAAATCTCTCTAAAGTAACTCTTTTAGGTGTAGAAGCATCTTTGGTATTCTGCTGCTTCCTCTTGCCTCCTTTCATGCTCTTACCCCCTGTTGATCCAGTCTCACCTCCATCTTTCTTGAGAGGAGTCCCGGGTGACGTATTGGCTGTGTGGTCTAAGGACAACACCTTTTTTATAGTGCCCGAATTGAGACACAAATCCACATGTTTGTTAAACACTGTTAAGTAATCAGGATTTTTGATAACCTGTAAAGTATTACAAACTGGGCAAACAGCCTCAAAACATGACTTCTCAACTTCACTTTGATTTTTGAGGCACAAATCTACATGCTTGTTGAAAACTTCTAAATGATCAGAACCTTCAATGGTTTGTAAATTGTTGCAAACAGGGCAAACTGCTTGGAAAGAAGAAGTAGCAGAAGTACTCTGAACTATACCAGATGTACTAGCACTACCAAGGTCTGTGGTACTCATTTCGTCTTTATTTCCACACTCTAAGACAGTCCCATCATGTCCATCACTCTCTTGTTTACATTTGCCCATTTGGAGAAAACTAGTTATTGTGTCCTGTTTTGTGTCCTTCTTCTCAAAACTTTCAAAATTGGACAGTCGCACACCCATTAGCCTCAGGCGCAATAACTTTGGCTCACAACTTTTAATTTCTTTGCTGAGCAAATCTCTTGCAGCATCCCAAATTTCTTTTTCTGAAGAAATTGGATTTGGATAAGAGAATGACCTAGTCTTAAGATCAAATTTGACAGTCTTGAGTTTCAAGGTAACTGTTCTTGGCCTAAGTCCCTCATCCTTGCAATCATTAGCCACAGTCTTGCACAGATTCTGACATTCAAGGAAGAGTTCCTTGGGATTACTGATTTCAGTAAATGTTCTTTCTGTTCCAAGACTTTTTCTCTCTCTGGTACACTCTAATCTTGTTTCACCCAGCCCAAGAGAGACTGCGATTAGAAATCTTGAGGAAATATTTGAATGAAGAAGAACAATTAAACCTCTTCTGTCATACAGATCACTACAAGTAGTTATTCCTAGAGCTTTCAGCATTTGTTCACTCACTCTACCAATTCCACTTATCTTTCGAATAGGCAAGTCTCTGACRAACTGCAGAACAAAATCCCGATCAGAAGACAATATGAATTGACCATTAGGCTTGTTGCGATCAGTGCATACCTTCGCAAGCATTCTGTTGCAGGCAATACCAGCACTGGCAGTCAGCTGTGTTTCTAACTCAATCCGAAAGCGAATTTCCTTGACAATATCATCAACAGTATGACCAAACTCGTAAGGCTGGATGTCAGAATCTTGGTTTGTTGTTTCTTGGCTTCCTGTTGGCTTATAAAACACTCTTTTTTCAGTATGTTTTTGTCTTTCTTTAATATAATCAGTAAGGTCCAAGTAAGCTTCATCTAAACTCATTGGTAAAAAGTCAGGGTCATAATCCTTTAGGATATTTCGAACAATACTACTTGCTTCGCGGTATTTATCAAAATGTCCTGGAACAATAGTAAGATCAGGACAAAGCTTTTTGCCAATAAACCCTGGCATTGCAGCTCGAACTCCAAATCGCCTAGCGAGATAGTTAGAGGTTGATAGCATTCCCATTGACCCAACAGCCATGGGTTTGTCTCGTAAGCTTGGATCATCCCGCATCTCAACCGCAGCATAAAACGCATCCATGTCAATATGGACTATCGTTCGACTCAAGTCACGAGTTTCTTCAAGTTCTTTGACCAATCTATCAGCTTGTACCAATGCTTCTGATTTTTCTTTATCTGTGGACGACTCTAACTGTTCGGTTTGACGATGGATCCTTTCTTTCACTTGTTGCTCTTTCAAAAGTTCATTTTCGTAGAATTTCGATCCTTTGCTTGCCTCAAATATTATCTTATTTATCTTTTCTTTATCTAGTCCTTCCATTCCAGCTTTGTGGTCATTCAGAGACATTCTAGAGGGTCCACCAGTTGAGTTTTCATTAGATAGACTTGACGTTTCCGGCTTCTCAACTTCGAAAGTTTCGGTCGACTCTGCATTTTCTTTCGGTTTTTGAAGAACTGCACCCTCGAAATTTTCATAGTTACTTATCCCATCTGTTTGTGTCTTCATGCTAGTAAATGTGATAGTCTGATCTTGATACGTTTGTCTTTCGTTCCACTCAAATTCATCTTCTTCTTCGAACTCTTCTTCAAAGTCTACCTCGCCCGCCATTTTGAAATGTGACACAGGCAACCCATAAATTGGATAGCCTCGTTTGCACGTTTACAAAATTACCGTGTAGGGTACTCGTAAGTAACTCTTGCTAATTATATCGAGCCGCGAAGTTCTAAATATTTCGGRTCATTTTTCTTTGTTTCGATAAAAAAAAAAAGTACCCGGAAAGGAAACAATGACTATTATTGTAATAAGTGTTCTGAAATATCAGTAAAAAATGCGGCTTTTCATAGGTCATTTTTTCTTCATACTTTATGATTTTTTCATTTTTTTCAATATGCTATACGCTTGCCAATGAGAAAAAAAAAGAAGTTTCTACTCTTGAAACTGAAGGAAGAACTTCCTCAAGGTACTTAAACAGCAATCTCAAGACTCATAATCCATTTGTTATTGAACGTTGTTCAAGCGGTCGACAAGCGAAAACGTTTTGCTCATTTTCAAAGCCAAGTAGCCTTTTCAGTACTTTCCCATACAATCAAGTCTTCCATTCAAAGTGGCGCACGTACAAGTTAATCGATTTCTGAGCTCAATAGCTTCAGCGCGGCTCAAAGACCGACAATAATTCTCCCTATGGCATAATGACGTCATGGTATCCTGTCGGATTTGGCGCGTAAAAGGTCGCTGGAAGCAAAAAAGACCTTTTGGAGCTCCGCTCGGTATTCGCGTATTCGTACAGTAATTTGGTTTGGCTATTTTTAGGCACGATTCAGAGATACTAAAGATAGACCAGCAGATAGTTATGTTYATAAATAAAAAGGGCGAAAATAATATTTTTCGAAAATATCACGTTTTTTGCGGATAATTTCTCTTCTTAAATGATTATTGTGAGAAAAAAAAAACCATCTTATCCTCGAAAACGGGCTATAAGTAGATAAGCATCTTGCTTTGGGCAATTTGTACAATTGTTTCTAAAAGAAATCTTTTGCTTCGATGTCACGAAACAAAGGCTCAAGATTTAGTGGGAAAATTAATATGACATATTGTAGGTCCCAGATGTTATAAAAACCCAATGCATTTTAATTGTAGTATATTTATGAAGTGTTAAATTATACTAAGATATTTGAAGCAATTCTTAACTCCATTTGAAGCAAAGAGCGAAAAAAAGACGGGTTGCAAAATCATGTGTTTTTTCCCTTCCATTTTGAACAAAAAAGAGAAATCAATGCTATGAACGGAAATGGTTATACATTGTTCTATTGTTAGGATATATTGAAGTTGAATTCTACATCCTGGAACGTAGATGTCTTGAAAAATTAAAAAAGGATAAAAAAAAAAAAAAAAAAAAAAGAGAGAGAAGAAAAGAAAGAAAGGAAAAATGAAATGAGAAAAGAAATACGATTTAAGTTCGAAGAGTATATGTTTCATTGTTATATCTCAGTTATGCTATATTGAAGTTGAATTCGCCATCCCTAATAATAGATGTTTAAAAAGTATTTTAAAAAGAAAAAAATAGAAAAAGAAAAAAAAGGAAAGGGAAGAAATTGAATTAACATAATATCCCAATTATCTTTTTTTCCCAGTAATTCCCATTTTGTAACGAGGTAAATTGTCTTACGGCGCAAGTAGATAATCCACACGCAGACAGGCACGAAAACCATGTAACGTGATGTACTGAAGATTCATACTAACACTTTTCACACATAAAAAGGCGCCACATAATCCATTAATCATTATTATTATCATTAGTGTAATAAGGTGAACCATACATTTTGTGATAGCGAGCTCTGCTTTAGTCATCCACGCATGTGCAATGGATCGCTAACTGAACAGACCAACCTGCTTTCAAATACAGGAAAGTTTGTCTTGAACCAGAGATATGTGAAGTGATCAGTGTTATTATCCATGTATCGGCCATCTGTTATAGTCATGAACACTATTCCCACTTGACAAAAACTGATCATCTTGGAGCTTAAAAAAATAAGTCGCTGTATTAGTACAATACCATGAGAAGAAATGCRAAAACACCACAATACATCGGGAACATCAAACAAAATAATCTCTTAAATACCCCTTCCTCAAAAAGAAATCACGGTTTTGGTGGAGTATAATGCAATACAAATCTTTGGCTTTCATAATCCTCATTGCTTAATATAGCGCTGCAAACGCGTGCACTAAAAGGTCAGAAAGAAAACCAACACGTGAATTGCAATATCAATCTAGTTACATTTGACGCGAGTTTTGGTCATTAAGCGTCGTTAACTTCATTGCGCGTTCAGCGACAATGCAATAAGAACTTGCTGATACTGTTAAGGGAGTCATATTAAGATGGTGTTTTAGAAWACCAGACATATTTACCTCCATAAGCATCGGGCATTCGTTCAATAGTATATCTACAAACAATATCAAAAGATCAAGTCAATATTCAAAATCCGMAACACTTAGAACAAGTATGAGGCTTAAAAAAAWTTCCCTATCTTCCAAACGATTYCGTTCTTATGATTTAAAGTGWTTAATACTCSAWCAATACTYTTGAGTCGGTCCTTAAATTTAAGGGAGGATAGTGGAGCATCATAAAAAATGGCAGGGCAAAAGCAAGAGATTAAGTCACTTTTCTTAAGGTTAAAGTCGANTCGGTCCTTAAATTTAAGGGAGGATAGTGGAGCATCATAAAAAATGGCAGGGCAAAAGCAAGAGATTAAGTCACTTTTCTTAAGGTTAAAGTCGACTTTGAAATCATCCAAGTTCAATATTGTACCATGGAAGACGAAAATGTGCTGCGCATTGTAAAGACAGCGTGAAATTTTCCCTATCTTCCAAACGATTTCGTTCTTATGATTTAAAGTGATTAATACTCGAACAATGCTTTTGAGTCGGTCCTTAAATTTAAGGGAGGATCGTGGAGCATCATAAAAAATGGCAGGGCAAAAGCAAGAGATTAAGTCACTTCTCTTAAGCTTAAAGCCGACTTTGAAATCATCCAAGTTCAATATTGTACCATGGAAGACGAAAATGTGCTGCGCATTGTTAAAAAAGCGTGAATGCACAGGTATATGGTGATTTACCGCCGTTTGCATTACTACGCGGCCACCCCAGACACAAATCGAGTCGTGTAGTTTGCAATAGACTGCCGTCAATCATTCATGTTGACGCCATTTATACACGTTTGGATCAGTGAGTTGGCTTTTCTATCAAACTTTCTCAGTCAGATATCACGAAGGAAAGTTCCGAAAGCGATTGCAAAGAGTATGAGTACATCCAAGYAGAATGAGGTGTCTGGGGTGGCCGCGTCTAATGCAAACGACGGTAAATGCGTACTTCAACAGTTTTAACAGCAAATCTTTCTCAGGGGATCCGGAAAAAGTGGTAAATTTAAAAATACGCGAATGTTAAGCTCCCCGTCCTGTTTCAAGGATGAGTGGGTGGTTAGCGCATTAGGAATCGTGAAAATCTTAGAGTAACGAAGGACTTTACAAGTAAAAGATTTTTCAAGAAGGGTTTATATTAATCGTACATGGAAGAATCCATTACCTGTGTTGAGATATGTACATGATAGGTACCCCAGGTACTTTTCGTATTCTTCTTTTTAGGTCTCTATCACACGTTGCCACAATATAACACTTATTCTGTAGACATCAAGTCATTAA